GGGGGGGGGAGAGAGGCCGGGGCTGTAAACGTGCCCCCACCCCTCCCGTTTCCTCTTCTTGCTCCAGTCCTTCAGCACCTTGTCCTTTATCTTTGTTTCCACACACACACACACACCCCAAAGAAAGTGCAACTGCTGGCCTGGCTGGATGCTCCATTTAGAAATCTAAAACTTTAATCTCTGTGTTGAGATTGGAGAGCGGCTTTTGGGTCTTGGTTTCTGAAAAGTTAGAGACCGGGAGGGGAGGAGGAGGCGGAGGGCTGCACTCAAGGCAGGCATCCCATTATTCATGTGCAAATTAAGAATTCACAGGGTTAAAAGGTTAGAAACTGGCCAGGGTGAGGCTTACCCTTGTGATAAAGAGCAGATGACCCTCATTCATGGGCCCAAGCTTTCATGTGGGCTCTGAGGCAAAGTTAGTGATTGTCCTGAATTGTTTTTGAGGAATGCAGGGATCCCAGACCCTTCCTGCCTCCTCCTCCTCCAGAGCGGCAGCAGCAGCAGCCTTATCTCGCCCGCCCATCGGAGGAGGAGAAGGAGGAGGAGGAGGAGGAGGAGGAGGAGGCCAGGCCAGGCCAGGCCAGGGCAGCCGGGATGGGGAGAAGGTCCTCCCGAGAGCCCCTCTCTCCTCCCCCCCCCGCCCCTGCCCGGGCTTCCTTTCCTGTTGTTGTTCATCCATGCACAAAAGAATTCCACTCCCGCCTGCTCTGTTCTTCTTCTTTCCAGCATCTTTTCCTGCTGCTTCTCTTCTTTCCTCCCAAGTGATGATGCCTTAGAGATAAGGTGTCTGTTAGGTGAAAACAAGGAATGGGGAAGGAAGTGGCGGGGGGGGGTGTCACACACACAGATGTCTGCTGTTGCTTCTAACCTATTAGGGTTAATTTAAGCGAGGGGGGGGCAAGAGCCCAAAGAGAGGGGGGGGTTGGAGGAGGTGTCTTCCTGCCCCATGGTCTCTTTGTGAGGCACCATGTGGGGGTAAAATGCTAATATCCGAAGATTTAAACGGCTTATTTGAAGTTCGGCCTGGAGCTTGCTTTTTGACTAACAGGATTCAAAGTTGCTAGAGTATTAGATTTGTTTTGTGTTAAGGCTTTTTCGGCAAAGGACCGCGAGGCAGGGGTAGTGGTGCAGAGAGCCCCACCCTCTAGCGCTTAAGCTTTGCAAGGTTAAAAAAAAAAGAAGTGGAGCAAAAACATTCAGCATGGAAAGATGGGGGCAATCCCTCTGGAATTCTTTCCTTTTTAGAAGCAGCTAGCCTTTGGATAAAGGGGAATTTGCAACCCTCCCTGCAGGAGGAGGACCAGGGGGAATTGTTTCCGAAATTAATAAAATGAGGCAAATGGAAGGACTTGAGGAATTTTTCCACTGGCTGACGTGTAGAGATAAAAGTTAGGGAAGCTGCTTGGAAAACTTTCTGGAGANCTACCTTTTTCAAAATAATGTCCTGTGGCCCTTACACTGAGCAGAAATGAGAAGAGGCAATACCTTTATTAGACCAATAATAATAAACTGCTGGCTTTCGACCTCGCCTCCTCATTGTCAGGTTGGCCACCAAGATGTAGACGGCGGAGGGTGCAGGAGGGAAAGGAAAGGAAAGGGGCACCTTCATGTCCAGGTGGTAGCGGAGGCGTTCTTCGTTTGGGTGCTGCTGCTGCTGCAAGAGGCGGAGGGTGTCCCTTGTGGTGGAGGGTGCAGGAGTGAAAGGGAAGGAAAGGTGCACCTTCATGTCAAGGTAGCTGAGGCGTTCTTCGTTTGGGTGCTGCTGCAGCAAGAGGCGGAGGGTGTCCCTTGGAGCACGCTGGCTGTTGCTGGCACAGCCCCAGTGGCCCCGGAGTTCTCGCAGGAGGAAGCCCCAAGCGGTTTTTCTGCTGGAGCTGCTCAAGAGGAGGACCTCAAGCTGGTGCACCAGGAAGCCCCCCCACCCCCACCCCGGCTGCCCCTTCCACAGGAATGCAAACCTTTGCTTCCTGTTTTTCCTTAAAAGCCCATTTGGCAAATTGGTGGCTGGAAACCTTTTTCTCTCCCCGTTTTGGGGTGGCGGGTTTGCCTTTTCAGAGAACAGCAGGAAAGGGATTGTGGGCGCTTGGGTTTTAATGCAAACCCTAAACCATTCACAGGGTTGCAGGGAAGTGAAAAAGGTGTGCGATGCGCAGTCTGTTAGGGAACGGTGTGCTTCCCTACCTCCGGATGGAAACCTGGGCAGATGGGAAGCAGCAATGGGGCGTCTTTTCTTTCTGCTCAGGTCCCGTCCTTCTCCCACCTCAACGGGGGGGGCTCCTCTCCTGTCCCAAGTGTGAGCTGGCGAGGGGGCTTCCTTCCACCGTGGTGTGTGTGTGTGTGTGTGTG